TGAAGAGCAGACTAGAGAAAACCAGGCTGGTTTTCGACCTGGACGTGGTTGTATAGATCAGATATTCACACTACGTCAGGTTCTAGAACACAGACACACATTCAGACGCCCCACAATGGTAGTATTTCTCGACCTTAAGGCGGCATTCGACTCTGTTGATCGTGAGGTTCTATGGCAGTGTTTGTCACTGAAAGGAGTACCAAAGAAGTACATTAACCTTATAAAGGCTCTCTACTCGAACACAACTGGTAGAGTGAGAGCTTATGGCGAACTGTCATCAGAATTGATTACCTCAAGTGGTGTTCGTCAGGGCTGTCCACTCTCCCCATTCTTGTTCAACTTTGTGGTCGACGTACTTTTAGAGATAACACTCTCCTCATCTAAATTTCCAGGGGTTGAACTTCTACCGGGAGGTTCACTTGTTGACTTAGAATATGCTGATGACATAGTTTTATTTGGTGAAGACGCTGACAAAATGCAGAGTCTTCTGACCACTCTAAGCAACAATGCAAGCATGTTCGGGATGCGATTCTCCCCTCGAAATGCAAAATGTTGCTTCAGGATTGGGTTACATCGACACCCGAACTAGTGATAGGGAGTGAAGTAGTTGAGTGTGTCGACCGCTTCACTTATCTTGGAAGTCTCATCAGCCCTTGTGGTCTGGTGTGTGACGAAATCTCAGCACGGATACAGAAGGCTCGACTAGCTTTTGCCAACTTGCGTCATTTATGGCGTAGGCGAGATATCCGTCTATCAACCAAAGGACGGGTTTACTGCGCAGCAGTTCGTTCCGTCCTACTTTATGGCAGTGAAACATGGCCGGTAAGAGTAGAGGATATTCGTAGGTTACTAGTATTTGATCATAGGTGTCTCCGAAATATTGCTCGTATATCATGGGACCATCGAATAAGTAATGCAGTTGTTAGGGAACGGGTACTAGGTAAGGATGGCAAATCAATTGATGAAGTAGTGAGAATTCATCAGTTGAGATGGCTGGGACACGTGTTACGTATGCCCAACCACCGACTGCCTCGACGTGCTATGTTTAGTGGTATAGGAGTAGGTTGGAAGAAAGCTAGGGGCGGCCAAACCAAAACATGGCACAAGTCCATGAAGTCACTGACAAGTGAACTGAGTCATGTTGGTAGGTGTCGACTACCTGGTTGGGGACCGCGAGATGATAGCAACCGATGGTTAGAGACCCTGAATGACATGGCTCAAAATCGTTTGCAATGGCGCAGGTGCATCCACTCTCTGTGTTCTCCCAAATTCTAATCTTCTGAATCCTTCATGTCCCTTTTTTCCTCTTTCCAAATTTATTTCACTGGATTATACTCGTTAAATAACATCTCCAAACCCTAATGTTTCAGATTACTGCTTATACTCTTATTACCTCTACCACTACGGGATTTGAATCGACAACTGCATCTCTGTGCTAATGTGGTGTGGCAACTCGAACTGATGTACGTACGTACGAAGTTCTACGTTGTTATTGACTGACTGAGTATGTAGGAGTAGTTGATTAAATAGAATAAAGGGACTTTAACTGATCCATGTACACTTTTGCATTAGAATTATAATAGCTAACTAAGCCGAAGTAAAACTTGAAGGGTGAAGTAAATGTTAATTTGCACAAAACTTATTGTCAAACGAATATCTAGACCATTAGTTATAGCTCTACTCATTTGAGTAAATTACATTTTTTTAAGAATTATTCCCACCTCAGAGCAAGATAACGAGGAAATTTCATGTGGACTATAGATTCTTTACACAGAATCTTTACATAATGATCTATCCGTTTCTAAGCGTAAGGAAATACTAGGGAACTTCCAATTGTCACTGTAAAACAAAAATGTTTAGCACAATACGGGGTCAGAATCTAGGCTACAGAGAACGGAATAACAACACTATGAAGAAATATCCATGGGAAAATGACTACTGGCACACCACCAACCTCACAGGTAAACACAATAGAGATGATGAGAGCTTGGTTGGAATCTTGAATATGGATCTCGTTGAAACAACACAGTAATAGCGAGACTTTCCATAGATATATTAAGGACTGCGTATTACATGACTTGGATTTAAGTATAAACATCAATGGTATAAAGTTTAAGTACTCATGGTTCTAGAACAGCCGGATTAAATTTTGCGCATGAATACGGGTTTCACAGATCTATTACTTTGTGACTTAAGACTGTATGGATAGGACCCAACTCTTAACAAAGATCAGGTGTTAAGTTGAGTAAGAAATAACATTTTAACAGTATACATCACATGTATACTAAGTTTTATTTATTTTATTTTAACACACATATCATTTGATATATGTGAGGGCTGTGTTGTTGCCAGGGTGCCCAAACCAAAGCAGGTGGTGTTCTTAGGGGGCCACACCCTGAGCCTTCGACCTGAAGGTCTGATCCACAAGGCAGTGGAGCACCGTGAGGAGATGCAGTCCCATGGCAGCCGGTGACCAACGATTGGTTCATACTCCATTTGTTCCCACAGGATACTGGAGCCCATGTGCATCATTGGTTTGGAATCAGGGTAGACAAAATGACCAGTTTATAAAGGGAGTTTTCGTGTTTTGGCAAATTTTGTGTTGTGGTTGTGATACTGGCTGTGAACCTAAACAGAAGCAAGTGGTTTTTAATAGACATAACTGATCTTTTGATCAGGTTTAATCCAAGAGGAAGTAGGACAAGGTCCGACGTGACGTTCTGGTAGTAGGTTACCAAAATAGGTCTACATGCCATTTTTTCTCTCAGTACTTCGAAGTACACATGGATCACTCGTATGGAATCCAAATTTATCTAAGGGGATCTTTTATACTTAATAACCTGATGGAATCGGTAGACTTTTGTTTTCATCACTTTCCTTTTGTGAGAACACTTGCGCTCCTTAGTTTTTTTTTCTTTCTTTCTATTTCTCTTCGAATTCCCATTGTTTTGTGTGGCGCATATATATTGGCGCTTTCTTGTACCAATATTCATGTGTTCAAATAAAAAATAATAATAATAATAATAATAATACAGGAAATAAGTACAACTCTTCTGAAAACGAGGGAACATATGAGAGTACTCTAAGATGAGTGCTTTTCTCATCACCAACTGTAAGAGAACATGACAGAGTATATAAAGTGAAATTCATCTAACAAGCACGGATTTTTGTACCCACGCCTCCAATGTGTGGAACAATAATAATGTCAAACTACGATAGATGCGATCTGATACTTTGATTTAACGCTTCCTCTGGTTTGTGTTGACTAGTTTATGAGCGTTTGTTATTAGGAATAAAGAACCTGTATATTCATAGTGATAGGGACTGTTTGAGTCAACGTTAAAGATTTATCATATATTGTGGTATTTCCAAGGTAGGAAATCCTTATTGTAAAAGTTAATTAAGCGTTTTAGCTCAAATAATCATGGAGTATTGACAAGAGGAGATAGCACTTAGCTCAGACAAGACGTCCATTTTTTTTATCAAAAGGGAAGTGTACTGGGCATCAATTTACTCTGCAGAGTGCTACAGCTGGGGCTTGGCTCGTAAAGGGAGAAGCTGTATGGGTTGCCAAAACTTTACCACAGATGCTTCAAAGTGTTGGTGTATGATAGTACAATCAATTTTCTAGTGCTTGACAGGTGGCAATTGAGTGGAAGCTGTAAGCTTTCGCCAACTAAAATGGTTGGGGAATGAGATACGCACACAGAGCTATCAAATGCTCCCGACCGTTGCTGCTACCTTGACGTGATGGTCGGGCTTGCCTATTGTGATGAACCAATCGAGCTATACTGGAACAATCGTTTCTCAAGGTCCTACCATGTCAGACAGGTCGGTTGAAGAGCGGTAAGACTAAAAGCAACTAATCCAAGGTCAGAGGGCGAAGTCGTACTACTGACTGCACAGAGGTGTGGCGGCAGTAAGGCGTTTCCCTCAGACAACCAGCATAACAGCAATGCTGCATTCCCACAAAGGAATGGCGAGGTTACAAAGGGTCATCCCTAAAAATGAACACCTCGCCTTATCTCACGGATATCCGTTTCCGGCGGTAAGGTGTCAACAAGTACGGAGATAACACGAAGATTACTCACAAAAAGGGCGTGCGTTATCGACCTCAAGCAGTTGTCCCTTGGGCTCTGCAGTCACGCTTTCAGGTCACTAAGACTATCCCTAATCCAATGTCTTTTTCAGATACCTCTATAAGAACCCTTTCGTAGTGTAGGCAGTCGAAAAGTGATAACTGTCCTCATACCTCTAACAGCACTCAAGTCTACATGGTGAGGTAATTTCAGGTGTGAACTATTTAGTTGTGGTAAGCACAATTATTGCGATCGAGTAACACGACTCAGAATTAGTCGTAGTGGCAGAGACCTATTCAACATTACTGTTAAATTTTGTGTCATGATGTTAATTTACACATAATATACCTTGATTGCTTCCTCTCGGAGAATTTTTAGTGGATTTAAGTCAATACAACGATGTGTAGTTTACTAGCACTCCTGATATATATATATGGAAGCCTCAGGACGAAATCGATTACAGACCTAAACAACACAACTGTGAGGCAATAAGATGAGGTATGTATGAAAACTATGGCTAACATAGTTTTGTACAATTCAATCTAAAATTTTCGAAAATATGACGTTTGGCTTCCTAAATGATTCAATCAGAACGTTATAGTATGCAAATAGAAATCGAACAAATGACAATATTTACATGTTAGACAGCTTTATTTTTTACAAGTAATGATGAGCAGTCTTTGACCATTATTAAAGGGTGGAAATTGGAGGTGAGTGAACTTGATTTTCGAGGGAAAATATGCACAGGCGCTACACTGTCTAACAAAATAAAGATTTACAGCTAGTTCCACTAACTTCAAGGTAAGAAAGCGCAACATAAACATATTTTTGCACTGTCGGGAACTTCGGTCAGACTAACAGAATTAAATGGAAAACGACTTGGATATGAACTGATATTGGAGCAATTAACTGAGAACCTACCTTATTGGTGTGAGGTTCGGTAACCCAGACATTTGCTGGCTACTACGGAATTATATCAAAGTGATTAGATCCTTATGAAGCAATCCATATTTCTGGAAAGGTGGGGAGTAGCACAAAAAACCCACTAGGAATCGGAAACTTGTTGAGTACCCTGTAGAGATCAATTAAACTGTTTCCTAGAAGTTAGTAGGTCACAAGTAACTATGATGAAAAACCAGAAATAGCAAGCAGCCGCCAGACGATTTTCTGACAGTTTTGAACTGACCGCACCTTGTGTGAGTGGCCTTACGCATACATAAACTTCGTAGTTCAAACGCCAATGGATTTTTGTATGGGTCTCAGATAAGCTTTCTTGGTTTTAGAAAGACATAATAACTGCTTTCTTCTTATTAAAAATAAAGGGTAAGAGCATTAATTAACAATTTTGGGACTGAACATGAAATAACACTGAGCAATTTCCTCCAGCTGAAACTTCAAATGGTTCAAATGATTGTGGACGGAATAGAAGAAGCTTTCGCTTAACAGGCTTCCGTGTCTAGTAGCAGGGGATCACCAAATCCTCCAGGCAGGAACCTAGGTATGTTAACAATAAAAGAGGAAAAGAGATTGGTAAATCATAATGTGATGCTGTTCTTGGTCCTTAAGAATAGGTCAAGTTGCCTCTTGAAGGACTCCTGAGAAGTCGCTTGGACTAGCTCGGCTGGCAGCGAATTCCAGCTTTTGACAACTCTTAAGGAGTAGAAATTGTGTCTACATTCCGTCTTGCTATGTTGTGTTTCCAGTTTCTGGGTGTTACCCCTTAGGTTGTTATTCGAACTAAGCTTAAGTAGGTGTTTAAGAGGATGTCCAGAAGTGTTAAGAATACTATAAGCCATTAATAAATCACCTCTAAGACGCCTATATTCTAATGGGTAAAGGTCTAGTGAACGGAGGCGTTCTTCGTAAGGCTTAGATTTGAGTCCTCGAACTGATTTCGTGGCTCGCCGTTGGATACGCTCCAAAGTGACCTTGTCCTTTTGGAGTGAGGGGGGAGTACTATGTTTCCGTACTCTAAATGGGGACGGATGAAACTATTGAAGATTGTGTGGAAAGTTCTTCCGTCAAACTGGCCAAAAATGCGCCTCAACGTTACCAGTGCAAGGTTTGCTCGGAAGGCATTTTTGTCACAGTTAGCGTAAGACTTTAAATCATGGGGCACCAGGACTCCTAAATCTTTTTCGACTTGGGATACTACTAGAGAGGAGTTTCCTAAGTTGTAACTGTAGTTTGCAACATGTCGCAGATGGACTACTTTACACTTTGAAGTGTTAAAGGTAAGTCCGTTATCGTCTGCCCAACTTTGAAGTCGAGTCAGATCCTCCTGAAGTGCCTGTGTATCGTCTTGGTTGCGTATCTCTCTCCAAAGTTTCACGTCGTCGGCAAAAAGTAATAAATCTGACGTTACCTGTTGAGGAAGATCATTTATGTAGATCAAGAAGAGAAGAGGCCCTAGTACTGAGCCCTGGGGGACCCCACTAGGACATTCCATAGCCTGAGATAAAGTGAAATTAACCCTAACCTTAAAGTGTCGATTTTTTAGGTATGAAGTAAGCCAATCGATTAGAGGTGGTTTGATACCTAGTCGTTTGAGCTTGTTGATAAGACACAAGTGGTTAACCTTATCAAAAGCTTTTGAGAAATCAAGGTAAATGACATCAACCTTTCCCTTGCGATCGAGGATGCTTGTCCATCTGTCCACCGCAGTCAGCAGGTTGGTTATACAAGAGTAACCCTTCCTGAAACCATGCTGTTGGGGTGAGAAGAAATTTAAGGACAGTAGATAGTCATTTAAACCGTCGCATATCAGGGACTCCATGAGTTTTGAAGGTAATGACAGAAGAGCCACCGGCCGATAACTTGAAGGTTCATTGCGTCGACCACCTTTGAAAATTGGTGTGATGTGAGCCAACTTCCAATTTTCCGGTAATTTGCCTCGGCTAAGCGAGTGAGAAAACATCACGCTAAGCGGCGTTGCCAGGATTGAGGCTGCCTCCCTCAGTATGGCAGGATGAACCATATCCGGGCCAGGAGAAGTGTCTAGTCTTAAGTGCTGCAATTTCCGGAACACCAAGTCAGCGCTTAGGTCCACTTCAGAAAGTCCTGTGGAATTGCAGATGAAACTGTCGTCAGTAAAGTTGATGTCAGCCGGTTGAAATGTTTGAGAGTAATGTGCCGCCAGAAGGTTAGCGGCGTCGCCATCGTTGTTGGTCGGGCCGTTAAGACCTACCAGTTGAGAAACTCCTGTTTTGGCTTGACGAAGAGAGGCTGCATAACGGAATAAGCTTCTAGGGTTAGAGGCGAATTTGTCCATAAGCTTTGTTTGGTACTGAAGCCTGTCTTCTCTTATAGCCTTCGTGCATATGTTCCTGATATGTTTATATTGCCTATACGCTCCATCGTTATTAGTTCGTTTGTATTCCGCCCAACAGTGCCTTTTGCGGCTTAGCAGGCGAAGGGTACGGTTCTTGATTACTGTAGGTGGCTTGCAGCTTTTGGGAACCGTTTGAGGAACTGAATGGTTTGTAGCACATAAGAGCGTGTGCAGTAAGAAGTCCCAATGACCATCCACATCGAGTTGAGGGTGAACATCCCAAACCACCTGTTGTAGATAGTCATGTAGAGCTGGGACATTCAGCCGTTTAAAATTCCAACGCAAATTATTGTTGGGATACCTTAGCTTAGTTTTGATGACAAAACTGAAGGCTATGACGGCATGATCGCTCTTTCCCAGAGGAGCCAGGATTGAGAGGTTGTCGACTAGGAATTCTTCGTTAGTGAATACACAGTCTAAGCGCGATGGTGTCTGACTGTTTCTCCAACGAGTTGCCGACCTCACATTTTCATATAAGCCCAAGTCATCGATGAGGTTGAAGAACCGAGCTTCAATTGAGTTGTCGCCTCCAGTGTACGTGTGTTCCGCGAAGTTGACTCTAGGGAGATTAAAGTCCCCTAGAATCAGGATGTGTGTGAAACCGAGACGGATAGAGCGGGATAGTCCTTCCAGCATACGACTATCGTACTCGATGTCGGCAGTTGGCTTCCTGTAAATGACTCCGACTAGACACCTCGAAGTACTAGACAATCTTACAGAGCACCATATGGATTCCTCAAGATTGTTAAACTCGAGGTTGTGAACTTGGTGCACCTCCAAGCAAGAGCTTATGTATATGGCTACTCCGCCCCCAATTCCTGTTTTTCTGTCGTTGCGGAACAAAGTCATCCCAGGTAATGCTAACTCTTGGTCCGAGAACTGAGAAGATATCCAGGTTTCAGATATTCCTATCAGATGGGCCTTATTAGCGTTGCTAAGTTCACGTAGTTCATCCAGTTTGTTTGGTAGACTCGCGGCGTTCATATATAAGCAGTTTATGCTTTCAATTTGGAACGCGTGAGCTTCGTCCTGTTTTTCTGTATGAACCTTATGTGAATGGACAGGTAGCCCACCTATATGAGGTTTGCCGAGGTGGTAGGCCCTGTCCTTTACACGTTTTTTTATCGTTTAGACAGTCCACAAGTGGAATGGTCAGCTCCAACTTGCCTTTGTTCTTGGTCCTAGCTTCGTATGGCCTATCCGGGTGCATGTGGATTCCAGGTGGCAATCGACGTCTATTAGCACGAAATGCTTCCAGAACTGCAGCCGCCATGTGGGAAGATGGGAAGGTTATCTTCATTAGACGGGGTCTAGGGTCACCGTCCTTCTTGGCTAGTCTCGTCACATGCTGAGTCAGTATGTGTTTGAGCCTCAAGGACTGTTTGATGAATTTCCATTCCCTGATGTCAGAATTTGATTGAGTAGGGTCTGCATTTTCCGGTATACCTTGACAATTATGTTTCTTCCGCGGAAAAACTTCTCGCGAGATTCTTTAGGGATGTTTCGTATGATATTGCGCTCAGAGTACGGTATGTCGGGCAATATTCTTACGTTACCATCTGATTTCAGCAAGTGACTTGCTAGCAAGACGTCCTCTACGTCGGTAGCATTCTTAAGTGTTACTCGGAGAAGCCTCGGGTGATTTAGATGCTTAGAATCCTTTCCTCGAGTGAGCCGGGTGACCGTCAAAGGCTCTATTCTAGGAAGTTCAAGCTTCTTGTTCAATTCACCCCAGAGCATCCTGTCGTTTTTGTCCTGCAGACTGAGAGGAAGGTCAGGATTGTCAACGAGGTTCATGATAATGAGAGAATCGTCACGAACTGTTGTTAATTTACCAGGTTTCACGATGGGTTCAGGTTTAATAACTTGTTGTTTGGAGGTCAGTGTGCGTTTTTGAATCTTGGGCTCTTTATTGACCGGACGAACAGTCTTGGGGGTAGACTGTGCGACCAAATCACCAGTTATTTTCCGTGCAGCAACACTTGGGTTGCTCGGCTTAGGCGGTGATGCCTGGTTCTTTTGGGCTCTCTTAACGTGGGTCGAATCACCTACAGGGTTTTTGGGAACCACTGTTGTGTCCAGGGACCCTGAGCTGGGAGACCCGAGTTTGCTTAGGGAGTCTAGTACCGTCGACGTAATGATGGTGCTGAGCCTCAACACGTCGTCATTAGTGTTGATGGATGCTCCATCGATGGTATACCTATCGACATCCCTATTTTTGAGTCCGTCACACGCTCTTGTTTGTCGACCGGATTTTTTACTAGTGTTATCCAAGTTAACTGACAACTTGTTCCGAAGACCTGTCAGTAGGACAATGATGTTACTCAGCAAGACAACTGCGTCCGTGCTGCACGTGACACATACCCACTTTTGGTCTGACTTGCTGAGTTTGTTGTAAGAAGTTGCTGTCAGATCTGTGCATGCTTCGTGGAACCAACCTTTGCAGTTGTCGCACTGCATGCCAGTTGTGACAGCAAAACGGCATCCCGGACGTTTGCATGAGTTTTTCATGACTGTGTTGAAGCAAACTATGTTATAGATGCTTGCAAAAGCCTAAGACCTTTAAAAAAACACTAAAAAGCACACTGAAAACGGACAAAAATGGACAAAACGAGTGATATAAACTGAAACTAGTCTATACGTGAAAAACAAAAAAAACCGAATAGTAAGCTGAGGCAAAACCACAGGTAACTATTTAATATAGTGAAACTCAAAAAAAGTAATCTACCGAACGTATAGCTCAGGATAGATTCTTTAGAACTGAAATGGTACTTTTGTTGCGTAAGAACACAGCAAAAGTTTGATAAATGCAAATCACGTTAGGACTAAACTTCCCGTTCGAAAATCGCGCGCACACAATAAACTATTGTCACC